TAATACATCACTGCTGAAATACCGAAGAAAGTGGACGCGTTTTGATTTAAAAAAATTCACGGGCAGAAGGTCACATATGTTTGTAACACCTTTGTTTTGGGAAATATTTTCTCCCTCCTTGGTCCCTATTTCACAAACTTTACAATAAAATGTGCCTTTAGCTGAAGCTGTATGTTAAGGTTTGTATTATTATTTTTTTCAGAAGTACACAGATCAAACAAATTACATACGGAAAAGGGCTATTCCATCAAATATATTGAAAACAGTATTTAGATATTTATTTTTTTTTATATAAGTTGACTTTAATTATATCCTTTTAAAAGTATTCATGTATATATTTCACATCTTTTCTCATCTTAGAATGAAGTGAAATAGGCCAAAAATCTTTTTTTAAAAATCTGCAGATAAACTAAGTACGAAAACCTTTCCAGAGCTACCACGTAGAATTTGCTAGAGGTGGTTATGGGGGCAGAGGACTGTTGCCCGCCCATTGTTTTACCAAACATAACTTTTTACAATTAAAAACCTTCATTGAAAGGCTCGATGTCCCATTTCTCTGTTTCAAATTAAGTATAGTGAATTCAGCTAGGCACTGTCGACAGGGTTATTTTCGCACTTTAACACTTGAAAACTATTTTGTCCCCTTTTAAATTTAATTTGCCATATCATAATTTTGTTTAAGAGAATAAAATGTATTCTATGAATTCATCCAGTTTTTAATTCGCCCAAAGGAGGATAGGGCGAAAGGGGCGAAATTAAAACAGGGGCGATAATTTCCCTGTACACAGTATATAATGTGTGGTGCATGTATAACTTTTTTTTAGGAAAGAAGTTAGAACCTACCCTCACCCTACGAAGTATAAACCAAGAAAAATAGATGCATTTATGAAACTGATGCCCCCGTTTGGCAACATTGCGAAAGTAAAACTTTCTAACATGCAAATTTAATACGTTAGTACCCAAAGTAAGGCCTTTTGACCAGAAATACAATTGTGAAATAAGAAAGCCATAGAGCCACCTGTTCAAAAGTTATGACCAAGGTTAAAGTTTTTAAAGGGTAACTCAAATTCCAGGGTCTAGGTCAATGGGTCAAAGTTGTTGATTTTAAACAAAGGTTTTGTCACAAGGATAACATTTTTGAAGCATTAAAGCCTTAGCTTTAACTGTTCAAAAGCAATGGCCAAGGTTAAAGTTTTTAAAGTCAAGGTCAAAGGGTTAAAGCTGTTGGTATCCTAGGAAAAGGTCTTGTCACAAGAATTACGTATGTGAAGATGAAAAGCCCCAGCCTTTATCATTTATAAAAGTTATGGCCAGGATTTAAGTTTAAAAAAAATACTAATAGGTCAATCTACTAAAGTCAAGGTCAAAAGCTCATAATTGGTGGAATCCATTGAAAGATTTTGGAAGAAGGTAAGGAGTGAGCATCCCCTGCTGACCGGTCACCCCCGCCGTGTGCTCCTTGTCATGATCGGGAAATAACAGAAAAATCCGTCGTCAATTCAGTGTATAAATAATGGTTTAACAATTAGTATGAAAAACGTCAGTCAGCATTTGACTCAATGAAAAATTGTATCTGCTGACAAGGTCATTGTATCGACCATAGAACTTACGAAATGATAACTTTAAATGAGACTGCTGATATTCTTGTTACATCAACTTGCTTGTCAATAATTTACCTCGTTTTAGAAATTGTTCATGCGTAGAGCATGATCTTGCGTATCGAATCAACTGAGATATATTAGCTCTGTATGCAGGTGATGTATGAAGGTACATTGCTGCATAAGTAAGGGAAGTTGACCATAGAAAATTTAAAGTCATCACATTTATCATATATAGCTTGGTTGTTAGATTACCATTAAAGATATGTATGCTGTGTTAAACAGTATTTTTGCACAGCTGAAACCAAACAAAAATTTCTGAAGTATGATAAGCTATCCACAATGAAGCATTCTTGCAAATTCGACGAAATATTATTCGGTATATATTAACAAAGTACTGGTCGGGAAAAGAACAGGATATTCTCATGCATATTTATAAAGGATTGACGTTTATCCTGGATCTGCGCATGTGCGCGGGAAAAGCATCGCGACAATCATCAGGTCGAGGAAAATATTTTTGTGACGTCTGTTCAGTGAGGAACCAATATGACTGACAAATCGACCAATCAGCTCAATGAGTTGCACTTAATGCATTTATGGATTACTACATAAAATACTACATGTGTTTTTCGAAAAGGCTAGTTTTTTAAATCGCTCTCGGAAAGACTTGATGCATTTTCCCAAGCATTTGCACGCTTAATGCAATATACACACTAATATCTACTAATCCTATGCTCATATTTGCATACAAATGATTAACAATGATAAAAATTAAAGTTTTCCCCACTCCATTGTACAGGTTTAGAGTTTCCCCGTGCTGTGCTGCTAGTAAAAAGACAATTGCACGTGATTATTCCTCGGTACAAAAAGCAACCAACTCTGAGGTGAGCTCACGTATCGACAATCCCTTACACACGTGTTTGTAGTAAACACGTAGTAGACCATCATGCTTTTCGGTTCATTCATGAGATTGGACCATTGTTTGCTGTGAGCATGCGAGACCACTTGATCATGAATATTTCAATAAGAGGCGGTTTATTATTCGACTCGGAGAGAAAATATTTTTTAAAAGTGATGGAGTGGAATTGTCTTATTTGCAGAAAGTATATAACTTGTATAACTTGATGAGACACCACATATATTTATTTCTTTTAAAATAAAACACTAATATTGCATATATATCTTTAACGTCTTTTTCAAGTAAAATATCCAAGTATGAAACAGATTTATCAGACTCTGTGGTATCTTTTATCTCAAGCTCACCAGGTCAATCGTATCGACGTAAGAATAAAAATTACCATTGTGAATTGACAATACTTCGTCGATATGTCTAAATGGCGAGTTGAAGGCCACGGCAAGTGTTTTCTTCTTTTTACGCATACATGTAAGATTTTGCACAAATTATGCTTCATATGAATATAAAAATAGAATTCTTCTAATAACGGAGCACATTTGGTACGCATGGGAATTCCAATAGATTGTTGGAAGACCTTGTCTCTAAAAACCACATAGATATTATCAATCAGAAATCCAAGCATCTTTTTTATGTCAAATTCAGAGTACTTGTGTGTGCTGTGTATAAAGTTGAAAAGTTTTTAAAATGTTGATTTTGATAAAATCTCATGATTTCAAATTGTCCAAAGTTCTTTGGAATTTTTGAGTATCCATCTAATTCACACCACTTCTTGAATATATTGTAGTACAGCAGTACTTTTGAAGTTTTCCTTCACTACTGTCAATATCTTAGTAAGGAGTGACGAAAAAGGCTTGGTTGAACATTTACTGGAACCGGCATTGTATCTTTGTTCGTAAGGATTCTTATGAAGTTTCGGAATCCAATACTGTAAACCAATTTTTATTCGCGTGCGAGAAATTTTCGCGAAGTTCGCGAGATTTTCGTCGTCGCGAATATTTCTCGATGCGAACCGGTCCTTATAGTATATTTGTCTATTTACAACAGATGCAAAAAGGCTTGATCGCGATAATTAATCATCACAAACTAGTTTATCCCTGGTTAATCGCGAAATAAAGTCGTCGCGAATAAAAGTTGGTTTACAGTATTTAGAGAGTAGTTCAAAATTCATTTTGGCTCTGTGGAATATTAAAAATATTTAAAAGTGACATATGATTTTAAAGAATTTCTTCCTTAGAAAGGGGAGTATCATTATAAGAAGGATTACCACTTGTAGAGTTAAATCCAAGTTCTTCTAAAATACAATTTGTATATAATGAGGCTTACAAACGAAGAAATGTTTTTACCTGCTTTGTCGGCAGGGACCATACGTACTGATCATGTAATCTATCTTCTTCTTTTTTCACTTCTTGATTATTGAACACAGAAGGATAGATGGTTTTCATATTGCTCCTCAATCTTTTAATACGCGACTTTAACATGGATCTGATACATCAAATCCATTCTGACAAGGTGTCAACGTCTTCTTTTTCATATCTGGCCCCTTGTCTGGTGTAATTTTCAACAGAATCCATAATATTTATGAAATTCCGACGCCAGTTGAAGAATCGGGGTTCCCTATATTTAGAACCTTTTAAAATAAGTGATCTAAGGTCCCCATTATTAACTATATTTACGTCACCTGTAATAACTTGTCTAGCAGGACTATAGTTATAGGCCGAAGAAGAACATGAATACGATGGAGGATTTTGTTTCAGATACTCGGTATCCAACTTCAGGCCATATAAAGTTGTTTTTTGTAAATGAAAAGTTTGGAAGCAATGGTCGTTGTATATTTGTAGGAAATACAAGGTGTAAGTCTTCTACTCGAAATATAGTGGAATACAAGACTGGACTCTTTTGTGATTAAGAATATTACTTCTTTTAACCGCGTCAATTATTTTATTGGCATATTGAAGTTTAAGGAAAAAATGGATTGTTTTAGCTGCATTTGCTTCCGTAAAACGTGCGGCGGGATTAACAAACCTTTGATTTGCAATATCCATAATCACAGATCCAAGCCTATATTCTGGTGTCGAAGAATCAAAAATTGGACTTTCCTTGGCCTTTTCAAGAAGACTATTTAAGTTTCAAAGGGACAGAGTCAAGTTTGGTGCGAATATGATTTAGACCTAACGGTTATTTAAATAAGGTAGAAATAATGCAAAAGAGACATTGTATACTGTAGGTTAATTGTAAGAGCAATGCCCATGACTACGTTTACGTCTCTGTGTATGGTTAAAAGGTCCGATCACATTTACATTGTTACAATGTGGACTGGAAAGTTTTCCTACACTATCGACACTGTCATTACATCCATAGTGAAAGGCTTTCCCTAGTTTTCTAATCCAAAATTCCTCTCGTTGTCTACGGAAAGGTATACTCAGCGATGGCATATTTGGGTGGTGATAAATCTTTTCGAGAATTCTAACTTTCATTGACAAAATAGAATGACCAGGTAAATGAAAATGTTTGTATTAAAGTTGCTGACCACCATGATTTGAAATCGATGACCTGATATTCTTTCTGATATTATGTGATCCCTTGGTTTCACCAACATAAATAAGTCCACAGAGATTACATTCTATTTCATAGACACCATTAGAAGATTTGCAGCTCAGATTTTCCCAAGTTTTGGAATAGAAGCTCTGTCCAGTAAGATTACTGGTGAAAGAAGTGTTAGTTATCAAAATGTCATAGGTTTTACAGTTTTGCACAGAACATTTTGAAACAGAAGACATGGGATCGGAAAAGGAATTATCAAATATATCTGTAATAGAAACCTTACATTCTTTCAATATTTTGTATGATATATTGGTTTTATACCAAAACTGAAAATCTGAAGACTCTACATATGACATATGTTTAATATCCCTGAGGATTAAACGAAAGAAGAATACATACGAGAAGTATGTACCAACAGTTAAAAAGTTATGCTCAATGTAAAAGTGTGGGGTTTTTTTGTAAAAATAGATGAAACTCAAAGGTCAAAAGTTCGAATTTGATGGTACCAAAAAAAGGTCATATCATAATGCATACACCAGTGAAATATGAAATCTATAGCAGCATCCACCCAAACGTTATGGGCAAGATTAAAGTTTTTGCGGACATACAAACAGACAAACAGTCAGCCAGACAGACGGACGGACAGAGCTAATACTATATACCCTCGAATCTTAATTTACGGAGGACATAAAAAAATCGATATATTTTAATTATAATTAGACATAGTCTAGATGGTAGAATTTCATGCTATAGTTTGGAACGCGATTTAAAAGAATATAAAAAATAAATTATCATTTTAGTAACAATACTACGGTGTTCATTAACTTAACGTCACTAATAAATCAATATTCAAAAACGTTTTTACTCCTCTTCATTTTTTACAAAATAGAAAAAAACGAACATAAATACAAGAAAACGCAAAGAAATGTATCTATCTTGATATAGATAAATTAAAAGAAATCAGGGTACAAATTTCAACTTCTCTAATAATGGCAGTACTTAACTAAGCGCTTTTGCTTTACTGCAACATGAGCCCTTGGGGATGACTTTATAATATATATTGATGCTAATAAATATCCTAATTGATTTTCAGATCCAGTTTGTCTACAGGGCAAGTGAGTACATAAAACATTTTAAGTCAAGAAAATCTATTTTTTAACGAATGAAACTGTTAAAAATGAGTAAATGATTCATGATAAAGAATGAGTTGTATAGAGCTTAATAATTTATAAATACCTTAATTAAGTTAATTAACCTTCACACAGTGGATCATAAAAATACTGTGTGTGATGGTAAGTTGGCTGAATGGACCACGGCTGCGTAAATGAGGGAGCCGAAGCAACAATACACTGCCTTGTAATGGCATCCCAAGAAATGTGAACCCTGGGCACAGATGTCCACTGACTAGTCCATACATGAACTTAAAAACATTTGTATTGATGCAACTGGGCTTGTAAATACAACCTGAAATGAAAAAAAGGTGTGACCACATATACTTGTCTCTATATATAATAGAAAAATCTTAAATAAAAATAAAATATATATATTAATATAAATAAAATAAGAAAGATGTATAAATTCATTGAAACTGAGAAGTAAATGGATATATATTCACATACATTGATATATATTAAATATACTGGAGTATTTATCACGTTCCACTGTAGAACGGCAACAAAATATATAACCGTCTATCCTCGTAAAGACTGTGGTTGAATGAACCAATTGTTCATGATGATAATTTATTCGCAGGAAAGCTAACAGGTAATCAATATATACTAGTAAACAGAACTGGGCGTATCAGAAATGGTCGAGTAAGACAAATGAAGTAAACATAAACGCACGCACATTGGCATTTACACACTGACACACAAACGTGAACGCATACAACATATATACAGACTACAACGTAACAAACGAAATATAACGAAATACAACTGATCTGTAAATCATTTTAATAAACTATTCATAAAACAAATATCAGCCCAAAATCAATCAGCCCACAATCTGCTAGTGTCTAGAAAAAACGTTTGGAAAACTAAATGGAGCAGACACTAAGACAGTCAGGGAGACTGGTCTCGGAAACGGTGGTCCCCGTTTTACAACCATTTTTTGTCTTTCATTTAAAAAAAAAACTTATTAAGGCTGACAACTTAACTTTCATATATAGACAAGTACTTTCATCATTCAATATCTTTATGGCTTGTGTATTCACCTTAAAACTTAAATGCAAGTAATTGTTTTAGACTTCTCACGTAAAACCCTTAATAAAAAGTTTTTAAAAGTGATTTTTTCAACTAGGTAAATTACTTTACGTGTACATGAATTGTACATGAATTTTTCAACTAGGTAAATTAGCACAACCAAAAGAAATGGTAAAATCAAGAATTAGCGCTACACAAGCCCGTGTCACAAGTATATATTGTACAGAATTATTATATGATTTCCTAGCGGTATTCATGAATTATCTCATTGTTTTGTGCGCCAAAGCCACTAAAATATGAAACCCGCTTTTTCAAGTACACAAACTGTATTGAAGGGGTTTCATCTTTTTGACATTATTTAAAACAAAAGGGTTCACATTTAAATCTTAATATTTTTTCGTCGCTCAGTGTGTAGACATGTCAAGATAGCGAATTTAGAATATGAAATGACAATGTTTAAAATGTTTACTTTTTTTGTGTAGTTCTGTTGTGTACGATGCCGATCTCTCATCTCTACCGTGGCTATATATAGGCGTGTCAGTTGGAGTACTTGTCCTTCTTCTTGTCTTCAGGTAGTATCTTTTGTGTGCTACAGAAAGAGAAGATCACGTGAGAACAAATTTGATTACTTAGATTAAAAACTTGTAAAGTGTTTCTATAGATTAAGGTATATAAAAAAGTTTTTTTCCTTTTGACGTTTCATTCACAAATGATATACTCAATCTGTGACAATTTCCATTGATTCCAATTGTGACCAGTATAATAGCAGACTCATTTTTGTATTTATATAAAGCAGAATGTATTTTAAATCCTAAACAGAGAAGACGAAAACACTTTTGTCCTTCAACTCGACATGTCAGTATCGGTATAATGACTATATTATCAATAAACAATAGTTAGTTCAATTCAAAAGGTGAACACGAGATATATTCCAGAGAGTCTAGGATAAAGGTTATCTCACTCAGAATTTGATTTATCTGTTTCATATTTGAATACTTTATTTGAAAAAAGGACTTTAATGGTTACCTAACAACAAACCTTTATGATAAACGTGATTACCTTAACTTTTCGATCGTCAACTTTCTTTATTTATGCAGCAATATACCTTCGTCACCCTCACAGAGTTTATATATTTTAGTTCATGCGATACGCTCTATATACGATTGATTTCTAAAACGAGGCAATAAACAAGTTTCCCTCTTTAAATAGTTATATCTCCTACAACACTGTGTAGAAACGGACTAGGGTAAAGTGTGTTACCCTAGTCCAAGATGGCGAAAAGCAAATACGCTTATTCGATTATTTTGTACTTAGTTTCAGCGTTATACAGACTTGTATTATAAATTTTGTTGTTAAAATTGAATTATTTCGTACAGAAGAACACAACTATTGCAAAAAGTCGGCATGACATGCGCTGTTTAAAGCCAGATTGCGAATACAAAATTTGAGCATGATTAGGGTAAAGTAAATGTTTGACTAGGGTAAAGATATTCTGAGCTTTTTGGGTGACTAGGGTAAAGTACGTGTAAAATATTTTCCTTTTTTCAGGACCCTTAAATTCCTATTTCGAGGGATGTTTACTTCTTCTAGGCAACTGATCCTACTTTTTTTTATTTCCAGGGATCCGTGTTTTATACCCCGTCCACAGATTTCTATTGTTTGTAGTTTTAAGTGATAGATCAGTGTTTGTTATCCTACCTTTTTCATTGAGCAGACTCGACACACACTCTGAGCCTTTTCATAAAATCATTGCACAAAACACTATGAAACGGAAAAATTCTGATTTTAAAATGAACCAAGAGCAATGGCAAATTGCTACTTCTTGCAGCTAGTTTATGATCCTATTTATAGACATGATATAGCAAAATGAGTAGGAAAAACAACACTCTTTTGATTTAGATGCGGCGAAAATATTTTCAAACATCTACAGATCAATTATTTAAAATTATAAAGAAAGGGGGAGGGGGCGATTTTATTTATTTATGTATTGTATTGACGTGTGCATAATGGCCAAAAATGGGGGTTTTGTAGTATTCTTACACTGAAACTATGATCGAGAAACGATTCGGATAATTATCATTGCTGTATCTACTAAGGTAACTGGCAAAGCATTTCTTCGAGAGAGAAAATAAATCTATATTTGGGGTTTTGATTCTTAAAATTTCTGTATGCAAGGTGTTTCTTTAAAGGTGTTTTTTTTTTTGACAAGTTGAACACCTGTGAAACGTTTCTGATTTTGTAAACAGGGCACGAACATTTTTTAATGTTGAAGTTCACATCACTGAGTAGACTGATAATACTGGTGAATTGGTTTTGCTTTCCCACATTTCTACTATATTTTTTCTCGATTGTAGTTTGAATATATATTATTAACCACAACAATTTCTTCACTTCTAATAAGTTCATGTATTAAGGATAAAATTTACTTTGCAAGGATGTATCAATTACACGCATCCTGAAATTTCTATAGTTTCAATAATTTCCAGATTTATAGAGTAAGTTTTTAAAATTACATTTCCTTGTGAAATGCTATAGTAACATAGGTAAAACTCCAAAGTCCGATGATGACGCCAAAGTGCGATGGTTTGTTGTCGCATATCAGTCATAATATTACGCCGAAAATTTTAGAAAACAATTACATCAAATTTGTGTCTAAGCACCTTTAAAGTTGCATAAAAGTATTTAAAACAGCACAAATAAAAGCAGTAGTATTAAGTCTTTAAATAAATTAAGAACTATTCGAATAAAAAGTTCGCTTTTAAGTGGAGCCGAGGTATTGACTTCGACTACGTAATAACATCACATTTGTCGATGAAACATATGGAGAGAACGAACAGTATTTAAGATCAACAGTCCATAAAACAATTACAAAATAGGAGCAGAGCAAACACGGACCTCCAAAACATGATCGAGGGTGGGATCAGGTGCCATGAAGGAGCGAGCATCCCCTGCCAACCGTGTGCTCCTTGTTATCATCGGGAAATGACAGAAAAGTCCGTCGTCAATTCAGTGTATAAATAATGGACTAACAGTAAGTATGAAAAACGCCCGTCTGCATTTGACTCAATGATAAATTGTATTTGCTGACATGATCATTGTATCGACCATAGAACTTACGAAATGATGACTTCGAACGAGACTGCTGAAATTCTTGTTTTATCAACTTGTTTGTCTACGTTTTAGAAATTGTTCATACAAAGAGCATGCTCTTGCGTATCGAATCAACTGAGATACTAGTATATAAACTCGTTTGCAGGTGATGAATGTATATTAAATTGCAGCATAAGTAAGGGAAGTTGACGATGGAAAAGTTAAAGTCATCACGTTTATCATAGAGCTTGGTTGTTAGATTACCATCATAACGTCTTTTTCAATTAAAATATCTAAATACTAGTATGAAACATATATCTTAGACTCTGTGGTGTCTTTTTTCTCAAGCTCACCAGTATATATCGTATCGGTATTAGTATGGAAATTACCATGGTTAATTGACAATACGTCGTCAAACAAAACAAAACAAATAAAGAAAAATAAAACAAACTCAAAACCATTTTTTGTGGATATTGATACAGCTATGCCCATCATAATACATTGTCTAAAAATGTTTTATTTATATACATTTACTGTTATATAACCTTTTTTTAAAATAGAGATACGTACGTTGGACGATTAATTTTGCTTCCATGATTTATATGCAGGGTAAAAAATACTACCTTAAAAAGTAACAGCATTTGAATATTTTCTAGATAGCCTTTCTCAACTTATTAATTGTATAAAGCAGTTGTTCTGTGTACATTTAGTGTGTATAATAAATAACTTTACCCTAGTCTTGAAAAAACTTTACCCTAATCGTAAAGAAACAGTTCTTCGACTTTACCCTAATCTACGGCAAAACTTCGTGACGCGTTTTCTGGTTAATTACGCAGAGTTAAATGTAGTCTCCTTCTGAGCAAGAAAAACTGATGCTGCAAAACAAATTGGTGCAAAATAAAGTATGGTTTTTCATTAGTATTCACCGATATTTATTCATGGATATTTGAAGCGTATAAGCTTGTCGCCATCTTGGACTAGGGTAACGCACTTTACCCTAGTCCGTTTCTACACAGTGTACAAGAGGAATTTAATTTCTAGAATAAATGTTAAAACATTGAACAAACAGACATAATCGTTCAACGAACATATGATTAAAATAATCTAAAACAATTTTCATTTTAGAGGAAGCTTCTAAAGGAAAAGATGAACAGATTCCTTTATTATTCAAAGGTATAATTTAAAGTTTTAAGTACAGAAAACGTATATTATGAATTACGCAATTCAATGAAAACAAACCGTACAATGTCCAAGTAATTATTTTCTATAAATTATCATTTTTCGTCTAGAGACACCATTCTACAAAACATCTACTTTCCACGAGGCATGTGAATTTCTCAAAAACGATGGGAAAATTCTATGTTTCATAGGAAAATGGGGTTCGGGGAAATCGGCAACAGCTGAACAAGTTTATACGTCCTTTACTGAAAGGGAACCGGTTGTTATAAAGGACATATTGAATTTTGAAGTGAGTACTTGTCAGGAATCTGTCATCGTAGAGGAACCGTTACCCAGTGAGGACGTTCCTGACGTTGAAAGAAGTGATATTCTTAAAAGATTAATCACTTTATGCAAACGAACTCAGGAAACATATAAAAATAAAACATTTCTGATTATAACTTTCACAGACGAAGCTTGGAAAAATATTGCAAAGGAAATGCACAATTGTTCATTTACAATAAATAAATTACGTTCTTTTGGTTTGAATTGGAAGGATATTTCAAATGGAGAACGGATTCAGATCCTTCACACTATTTTCCAAGCTTACAAACGAGATACACCTTTCTCTACCGTTGAAAAAGTTGTCTTAAGATTTAAGAATTTGTACGTTGAATTCCCAGAGATCTGTACACTATTTTTAGATGTAGCGAATTTCAGACACATGATATTGTATTCTTTAATCGACCGCTACGTTATTTAGCCTCATATTTAGAAAAAATGTGTCTTGATTCAAACAAGGAAGAACAATTTCTTTTACTGGTGTATATGAGCGTTAATGACATGAAAATAGATATAAACAAATCGGATCAAAAGCTGAGAGAAATATATGAATCATGTGGTCTCAACAATATTGATTTAAAGTCGCTTTTACCGCCAGAAGAATTTGTAGTGAAAGAAACACCATCAGTCTATGTGTTACAGCATGGAATTATAAAAAGAATGTCACTCATAACTTTTGGTAAGTTTCATTTCTCGGAATTGCTAAAGTTTTCATCGAAGAAAGATCTGCTTGGCTGGATAAAACGCAAAAACACAAAACTTATAGCACCACTTGTAAAAGGTGCCAAGGAAGCATCAGAAATTGAACCAGTCCTTGAAATTAATGACGAGCAATGGAATGAATATCTTAAGAAAATAGAATCGGCAGCCAATCCGACTATTGAGATCTCGTGTAAAGATGAAATACCCCCCCAAGATACTAGCTGACATCTGAAACATGCACGTAAGAGGGTCATTCAAAAGATACGTAAACAATTGATATATGCTAATATATCTGACACTCGACGCTGAAATATTTTGGAAGCTTGCATTTTTGCGAGATGTAATCGCTGAAAGAAATATAGTCCAAAGGGTGTAGTGAAGAAAGTCAATTTGGGTTATTCATATGGAAAAATTATGTATACTTCATCATTGAATTAATGATCACCTGATTGTCACTATCTAATACATTCATTATTTTTGCGAATTGTTTTAAATCGTCAAAATGTAATGATCGATGATTGTTTTCGAAATTAAAAAAAAAATCATTTTTCCAATTCTTTGATCATATTCTAAACATGTTATGTCAAAAATCAAGTGTAACATTTACCAGTGCTAATAAGCCAAGTGTAATATTACCGTATTTTCCCATTTCAGAGGATCTTTTTACTTTTTCTGAAATTGGCTTAATTTGAATTAAAAGTTCAAAAGGAACCATTTTACCATTTTAAACTAATGATTTATTTATTTTATTTGTTTGTTTGTACCTTGTTTAACGTCCCTCTCAAGAGTTTTTCACTCATATGGAGATGCCGCTACTTGGATGTGAAGAGCTGCAAATTTTGACCTGTATGGCCATTTACTAGTGTTCAATCTTTATCATGCCAGCACCTACTGCGACACAAGACCTGGTTTGGTACAGTCTCATCCGAAGGACCGATCTCCACGTTCCACAGTGCGAAACGAACCCGCGACGTAAGGATTAACTCTTTACTTCGCTACTCTGGGGCAAACTCTCTAACCCTGATTTATTTTAACAAGTTGAAAGTCAAAATTACACGTCTTTACATTAGTACTTTGAAAAAATGCTAATGTTTTTAAATATACTTGATAAAGTATTCAAATTTCTTAAACCAAATTTTTCTAGCAAATGTCACAAGGGTACTGCAAAGAGGAGAGTCTCTCGCATAAAGGGTTTATGCAGCATTCAACATAGACCCAGCTGATGCGAATTACGTAACACCTGTAATGTTCATGTCAAACTAACAGATAAATAGAAACTGACATACCCATACTGTACACGCTCTCTTTCTCATCCTCTTACATACAGCCTAGCGCGTTACTACAAGTATTTCACCCTAACTCTGAGGCGATAATAAAGCTTCTCTTCAGATTTTCAAACTCAAAAGGAAGCATCAAATTTTCGTTCTGAATATTCCTCCACTTGCTTCTAAATCCATCCCACGAGTGCACCTGATGTAAATTTAACGAGAATAATCGTTACTCACAGAATACATGTTAAAAGAGCTATTAACCGATACAAGTTCTTAAAAATGTTCTGCAAAAAATATTATGGCTCTTTGTTGTATAGTATAAATTAATATTGCATTGGGTGTATGCCTGTCTTCTCAGAAAAATTCAGGACATATTTGTGAAATTATAGTGTTCAACCACATTTGCACATAAGTTTGATATTATATTTACCCAATATTTTTATGCATAATACTGGACATTGGATATTTTTAACATCCCACTGCTGAGACATAAAACATTAATTTTGATGTTTAAAATATGTGATAAAAAGAATCTTTGATGATTTGTGGATGGGTGTGATTTTTATTCAAGTATTTTTAACCCCCTCGTCATGACTCTGCCAAAAAAAAAACCCAACTTGTTGGATAAAAATCATATTCAATTAAAAATTATGAGAGATTCTATATTTATATATATGCAATATTCATAAATGTTAATATGTGAAAGAGTTGAATTATCATTATTTTCAATAAAAAATCAAAGATATTTATTTTGCAAATTAATGAATTAAAGTCTTTGTTGGTAATATGATTTTTTAAAGGCATCTTACATGATATTTAAGCATGGATCCTGTTTGTACCTTTCCACAAATAGATGGCGCAAATTCAATATCCCTCTGCAGCAAATATGAAGGTGGCATGCAGTAAATTCGAAGGAAAAACCTTAGTAAGGATTTTGATATCTTTTGGAAACAAATGAGGAATTCTAAAAAAAAAAAAAGAAAGAAAGAAAAGAAAAATAATTAAACTTTAGTCCAGGAATTGAATAAAAAAAACCCATAACATCCTGCCCTGTTATAAATGGTTGATTTAATTTATTGTGATTAAAAGCTGCTAATATGTGAAATTGAATTGAAATATTATTTCAGTAACGTGTATTTATGTCTGATTTGATTTATCCAAATAAGCAGGTTTGTTCTTTTTTGGGGGTTGGTTTGGGCTTTGGGAATACCATGGAGGATGCGGGTCCCGGATGAATTTTAGCCCCCCTAGGCTTGTACCATTATTGAGACAAACTTGTGCAGGGTACCTCTGCAGGAACCAGATTCAGTCCTAGACGTTTATACGAGGGCCGTTCAAAAATTACGCGGACTTGTTGCACAGAAAAAATATTTGACTACATATTCGGGCAAAATGTCACACATAATATAAAAAAATCTTTACTTATTTGTTCTTTAAAATTTGATATCATTGTATTGTAAATTGATATCAATTTTGGATGATTTATCAGGACATATCATTAAGTCACGGAGCAGCAAAATCTTCAACGTCACGGACATCATAAAAAAAAATATGAGCTTTCATTTTCTTAACATTTTTCCAACAGTTCCTGTACATACAGTTTGAGTTACTTATTTTCTCTTTTCGAAATCCACACACCATTCTTGTCAAGCTTAAAATCTATAAAATATGTAAAACATATTCTTTTTATTTAAAACTGTACTTATGAGATATAGTGTGACATTGGATCACTCTCAATCACGTTCTTAACAGTCCGGATCAAGTTTTCGTCGATAAGATTCGTCCCGCCCGCGCGTATGGCCTTTTTACATAGGTATAACAGTCTAAAATTCCAATTTGCTATTTGTAGACAAATGTCACTAATATCCATGTTTACTACATCTTTTATTATGCATATTTTGATTATATGTTGGCGATATCTAGAGCATTACACATAATGTAACAAAAGTGTGGTTCTCCGTCTATTCAGGAAACGTGATTTTAACAGTCGTTTTCACAGGAATCGCATCGGAGAAAAAGCACTATATTTCTGTTAGTACTTCAAATATCACGTCAGAAATCTACATACTTAATAACAGAACAATATGAAGATACATTTGAGAAAATTGTCGAAAAATATCGCGAACTATAGAAAATAAACGAGTTAAGATTTGTGATTACGCATATTTTTGTTTAAAATTTTTTGTCGTGCTCCGTACCTCTCCATTAGCGATATCAAAACAGCGATAATTTTAAGAGAAAGTTTTTAAAATATAGAAATTTGCTCAAATTTATTGGAATCTTTAAGATAAATATTCCTGTGAAAGAGCTATATATGGTAAGAGACATTTTTGGCCCCCTTAAAATCAACATTTTAGAATGCTAATCATATATGCATAATTGAGTTTTATTTTGTAGAAGAGATTATATTGAAAATATTTTCAATACATTTTTGACATTTATATGCACTCACAAGCTAAATATGATGTCAGAAATTATGCTATTTTTGCAATCCAACTAAAACAAGACAAAGATGGGCTTTTTCTTGACATTTTTTCTTATGGGAAACATGGCGCGCAGCTTGGAACATGCAAAATTTTTCTGTCAGTTATAAGTCTTGTATAGATACATCTTTGGTAAAAAATATTAAGTTTGTCCAGTTTGCGCTCAATATTTTCTACAAGAAAAACTGCTTGAAAATAAGCAGTTTTATACAACATACGCTAAAATAGCGGGAAAACGTGAACTTTATAATTTCATATTTCTTAATGGCATTTTAATCAAATTAAAAATTACCAATAAAGATCACATGTATAGCCGTCAAATTAAAACTATATATAAAGTAGAATAAAGATACTCATTTTAAGGGGCCTATTGAGACACTTATCATATATTGCTCTTTCAAAACTATATGACGTCTGTAAGAATAAATAATAGTTAACTGTATAGTCCGCGTAATTTTTGAACGACCCTTGTAATGCTGATTAGTGTAAATCAATGCCATTGTGTGAGCTGAAATAATTCGTATATAAAAATAAACTTGGACTTTAATTTACAGATGTATTGTGGGGAATGGATGTGTATATAGGTTGAATTTTTAGGGAAGTTCTGATCTCTAACAAAAAATAATTTTTGACTTGAAGAAAAATATACATGTATCGTATAAAGATGTGCAAATTGAGACTATCAATATCATTTTCATCATAGCGAACCTGCCTTTATGCTGCAGGAAACATGTTCAAAGACCATGGACTACGAATGAAAAGAAAGATTTTTTATTTACATTGGGAAAAATAATGGATATATCGGATTCAGTTCTTGGTCTAATATAATGCTAAGCATATTTTTTATCTATGATAAAGGATCACTTCTTTATAAATAGGGATTTGACCTATAGGACCGGGCTTGGTTTTTTCTCTACAAAAACCTTGTCGATTTCCGTTCTGATTAATGACATTAGGCTGAATACATATAACAATTTTTTTTTCCTAAATCTTTTTTTTTCAGCGAGTAGAGGTAAGAGGAACCCTTTCGTTGATTTTCTGAGTTTGTTATCTCAAAATGTAATAAATGATAATTTATTTGTTTTAACTTCTCAGTCTGCATATTGGTAATGTTTACTACCTCTGAAATTCTATTCTTTTTGTCTAGGCTATTTTATCCGCGAATATAATAAAACATGCCATTAATAAGTGCAAATTATATCGGCCTTAATCAAATCTGAGGGAGTACAGTTATTGATATTTGTAGCCAAAATCAATTTAATTAAATTCTAAGGAAATATACAATTGACATTCATCGCAGCTCAATGCTGCCAAGAATACCTGTATTGAGTAACACAGAGTGAGTTATTATTGTCCTCGGAGAAAGTGTGCTTATACTGAGGTTTGTTACGCCTGACTGACAACTGTACATTGGATTCTTACGATTTGATATCCCTTTAGTGTTTCTTATATATCAAGAATTGGCATGCATACGGAATAGATAATTGAAGGAAAATACACAAGTCTATAAAAATATCAAAATAGTCTTTGAAAAGGCGAAAATCTAAAACTTTAAAAAGTGTGGTACCAGGTGGATTCGAACCCCCGACTTTAAAATGTTAGTTTGCACGGTGTAAAAGTCAGCGTATATATCAACTGAGCTAGTCTGGCTATAATATTGAAATGTATAAATTTGAAGAAGATTATCAAAATCAGGTTTCCTTATTTTTTGTAGGTTTTTTGTAAATCTCGACCCCAGGGCAGGGGTGCCCCTAAAAAAATCCTATCTTGAATTATTCCTTACATATAAACCTATCAAAATATCACAATTTTATTTAGGGGCAGGCCTGCCCTGAAGGACTTCTAGGCCAAAATTCATGCAAAAATCAACGCTTTAACGGACAAAATGATGTTTCGACCAACTTTGGAGGTTTATTGTAAAGTTGTTACTGTAAATAATAAATGTTAGGTTTTAAATACAAATTTGAAAAATTTAGACACATATAAGTTAGAAAACTACGAAAGCCTACAAGGGTCAAATTAGAAAACGAAGAAAAAAAATTAAGTCGTAATAACGACTTTTTATCTCATAATAACAACTTTTTATCTCGTTATTACGACTTAGGAAAGTCGTAATAACGACTTTTTATCTCGTAATAACGACTTTTTATCTCGTTATTACGACTTTTTATCTCGTAATAACAACTTTCTTAAGTCGTAATAACGACTTTTTATCTCGTAATAACGACCTTTTATCTCG